AAAACACTAATTAGTCTCTCCAGGTAAAGTGATTCTTTACCAGACAAAGGTAGAACTTAATAAAGGAATATTTATTATGAGCAAAAGAAAAACCACAGTGCATACATAAAATAGATGATAAACAAATTATTTACACCAACAACAGATAAAAACAAAAGGGATAAAATAACGGAAGTCCTAATCACTTACTCAGGTATTCAAATTAAAACTTATGCTCAGGGGATTGTTGGCAGAAAAGATGGTGACTCACTAAAAATTAGATTTGGCCCCAAGCAAGTCCAATACACACTTCAGTATCATTAGTTATATACCCTGTGGATTACCAAGCCTCGTCCAGAGGTGAAGTTAAGGCGTACCTGTAGAAACAATAAGTGACCACCCCCTTGTGTTCCAGACCAACATCAATCCAAATGGAAACATTTGGTTCTATCTCCTCTTATGTACTTGCCACAGAAATAATAATTGCATCTATGAATTTGTTTTGCAAATTTTCCATTCCATGTATATGTCACACTCCTTACTTGTGACCCAATATAGCGGACATCACAATCCCTTCCCATATGGGTAATTTACACAAATCATGTTTAGGCTTGATTAGAATATTGCGCTTGTCCCATTCTATTTATAATAAAAATGAGGCTTAATTATTATTCTGTGGGTAAATATTAATGTTTCTTTTGGATATGATACTGGAACACAACACTTGTTTTTTTCTTTTTTTAACTTTTTTCTTGAAAGTTAATGATTATTAACATATCAAAGAAATAAATTAATCAATTAAGAGGTATAGGCCATATGGCTGAAGTTAGCTAGTTTATATTGGAACTAGACATCCAGGCATCTCAAGTGTAGAATCTCACAGCCTGCAGATTAATCAAAGGGTCAATCTATGTTGCAAACCATCTGCCCTCCTTCACATTCCTATACCATTTACATTATCCCTTCTGTCATCTGATCTCTACCAAGTGGTCAATTCATATATGCATTACATTAAATGGCAATATTATACTGTGCAACAATGAATTATGCACTCTTGGCATAACACTCTTTATATTGTTTTATGATACAATTATTTCATAATTTAAGTTTTCTCAAATGTTTTGCAGTCTTTGTATACTTGGACAATGGGCTTGTACTCAACTCCCCTGCTCTGGTAACTGCAGTCTAAAAGGAGGATCCCACATTAGTACTTTTGATGAAAAAGAGTATACCTTTCATGGGAACTGTCAGTACGTAATTTCCAAGGTATGAAACATCCTAACTACATCATCATATTTATATTAAACATGTTCATTCTAGTGTTTCCTCTGGAACAGCGACCAGTTTATTTCTGCAGTAACTGCCAAATTTGCATTAGAATATAGAACTTTATTAAAGTGAACTTGTCATGACAGATATAAATGAACAGTTTTATAACCATGTGGCTTGACCCATTTTATACAATAAAGTGTTTCTTCTCTTATTACTGTTGAAAGCGCATATTTTAATTTATGTCCACTACTTATGTCTCTGGTTGAAACTATCAGTCATGTTTTCAGTGGGTGTTACAATTGCTGCAATGTATACCTCTCCTGCATACCGCTTTTGGGCAGCACAGACTTGCTTCCTATAACAGGTTTAACCCCATTAAGGACACATGACATGTCTGACATGTCATGATTCCCTTTTATTCCAGACGTTTGGTCCTTAAGAAGTTAAAGTCCCCAACACTATATGTTGGCTTTTTGTAAATAAAATCTGTTCTCTTTTTCCATTCTCAGATTGGCTGTGGAAAACTGCTGCAATAAATTATACTGTCTGTTTCTTTCCTATATCCATGCTTGCTGCTGGTGCTGCTCTTACACAGAGTTTGCCCCTCCCCCTAAATCCCCTTGTAGGCATTGCATTCTCTTATGCTGAATTCAAGCAGGAGCCACTCCTAGAGGAGGGTTTACCTGGAAACAGACATGCAGAGTCAGCATTCCTACATCTGTGCCAACAGGCACAGACTGAACTAACTGAGAGGAGGGGAAATGGAAACATTGTATTTGATGACAATTGTTCTCTATCATTTATTGTTGTGACAGGTACCCTTTAAATATTTTTAATATTGTTCATCTTATGAGTTTCACATAAATCAAACATGTTTTCTTTTTAAACAATATTGCTGTATTAATGTTTAACTAACACATGTTTGTGATTATTTTTCTATTTTCTTTAGGGAAATGTTTATTTAGTTTAAAATGTTTGAGCCTCTTGTTCACACATTTTTTAATTCATTGAAATATTGCAGGGTTTTGTAATTGTGAAACTGTACTAGTATAAGAGCTACAGTTTTTATTATTGTTTTAATACAATTTTTATTATTTCATTTCACTAGCCTATTTATCATTTTAATGGAGGATTGATTTTAACTGAATATTGTGTTTGTCTTTAGTTGATGGCTAAGGAAAACTGCAACATTAGTAGCACATTTTTCAAGCTGCAAGTAAAGTGGCTCTGTCACTTCAGAGTATTTTGTAAATATATCATTTTAAAGGGTTACTTCAAGTACCATGATCAATTCATTGATTTGAGTTGTCATGGTGCCTGCAGTCTGTATGTGCAATATTTTGCTATGAAATGCAGCGCATACAGAAATTAATCCCTTAGCTAATGGAGGTGTAACTGCAAGGTTCCGGGCTGGCTAATGACAATTCTGTGCAAAATTGGTGTCTGATGCCAGCATGTACAGCATGCTAGTGACAGACAGCAAATGTCAGCATGCTGCCACCAGACATCCAAAGTCAGCATGTACCCTAGCCTTGCTGACCTTCCCACCCCTCAGTCCATCCTTAATGCCCTCCAGCAAGAGTAAAGTAATGACGTGACTTCTAGCAGATGAAATGCCTGGAGCTAAAGAGTTTATGCAGGAAAAAGATTGCGGTGGCTGTAAGGAACAGTTCCCATCCACTACATGCCAAATATTAGTTTTGGTAAATTGTAGATAGTAGCGTCTATGTAATATGCTCTCACCTCTATAAAACAGGTAGATTAAGATAGGTTAATCTATCTTTATTATTATGGCATGTATATGAATGCACAGCATTGTGAATGCCTTTCAAATTTAAAAGATTATTCACTTGAATGTGAATTTTTAGAAGTTTAAATTGAGTTAAAAAATGTAAATTTTTGGAAAATTTTTTAAAAATAGTCTGCAAGAATGTCCCTGTTCTTGCAGACCTCCCGATTATGAAACTCCTTCGTGTTCATAAGTACTGTACATCTGTCCTTGTTACAGTGACATATGCACCAACTACTTCATTTAAATTGACTTCAAACTTACAGTGTTTTGCATGAATTTTTTATTCTTTTTCTTAGGATGTAAACAAAAGATTTGCTGTTATTGGTAAGATTGTCCAATGTGGAATGTCAGAAACCATCACTTGCTTGAATACTGTTTATATCAATATAGGAATAGTGGTAAGTGCCAAAAACATCCCTTTAAATATCTATTACTCCACTGACCATTTATTAAGACAGTTTTTCTTTCTTGACAAATGCCATTAGAACTGTATTGGGAGTACAATACATACAAGTGTAGTGCAATTTTATCACTTTGTTATGGCTTTTAACTTTTGTATGTTATCGCTTCAGTTCTGACATCTTACAAATTCAAAAATGATAATCAAAATGTATTTGTTAACCAGCCTTAGAAGAAAACCAGTTTAAAAAGTTGAAACAGACATAGGTCTTGCAATCAAACACCCACTACTCATGGGTGGTAGCAATATAGTATTCATCAGCACAAATCATATAACAAAAACAAAAATGCTCTTTGTGCTCTGTCCCAAATACCTATGCACATTTAACCAATTAACAACATTTTCTAATTCAACTGCAATGACCATTTCCTGCTCATTCCCTGCCCATTGCTCATTAACATTTTATATGCTTTTCTTATTTATTTATATATTTATATTTTCTTTAGAACATTGTGTCTATTTATGTATTTATTTAAATTTTTTATATATCCAAAATGTTTTGTATCTAGTTGTTTTAAGAGTTAATTAAAAGATAAGTTTTTAATTAAAATCCCATAGTTTTTCTTGAAACACTGCGATGGAGACTGGAGTCTAATCAGGTTTTCTCTGTTTTTTTAATCTTTGTACAGAAAATTAAAATCTGTTATTGTGGGAACGTGTATATTAACAATTTTATTACACTGCTGCCAAAAATTAAAGGTTTGTGACATTTTTTTTTACCCATTTTATTCTAGATAAATGAAAAAAAATGGCATGAGTAATTATTCTTCTTAAATAATCCAGCCATACAATTACAGCCATAATTCAACATATGTTAGTATGATCTTACTACTCGTGAATTGCAATGTGACCTGTGCAGACCCCATGATAATATGGAATGCCCTGTTAAAAAATGCTCCAAGCACCATAACCTCTTCACTTTGATGTAGTGGTTCTGGTGCCTTTAGTGGCCATGCATCCCTCCACTGTAAGGAGTCAAACCATTTTTGACTGATTTGACTACTCAATTGGGGTCCACTGGCACTGCTCCATGCTTCCACTACTAATGCTAAAGAGACAGAATTTCCTAAACAGGAATTTCTGTCAGCTCTCTTGAATTAAGATCAACAATACAGGGCTGATCTCATTGGCTAAGAGAAATCAGCTGATGCTTTCATTAAATAAGTAGGGAATTTAATGTCAGAGCAATATATCTATGACTCACTGAATAACGTTGATTGTACAGTATGCAAGGACTGAGAACTCACTATAAAAATCTTAATATGGGTGCGTAGCTAAGCGCTTGAAGCGGACGGTCGCATGGCCGCAGTCCTCCGGGCCAGAAAATCTAACGAACGAGACTTTAGGGCTCACACACCCAAATTAAACTCACCCGGAGTACGCCTGAGAACCGCAGGGACCAAATGGGCTGAAAAAACAAAAAAGCAATGCCAGACAAACCCCGCCAGATAAAGGACATTGGGGTGGCGGCAGGCGCACGCGGCAGCAGAGACCAGGATGGCGTACCTGCATGGCGGCTGCTCCGACTTTACGGATGGGTCATCAGATGAGGAAGGGAGTGCTACCATGGCGGCTAAGCCAGCTCTATTGACAACACAGGCGCCAACACATACAAAAGCCCCCACTCCAGTGACCATGGAGGCGATTGGGGAGCTAATGGCGGCCCACCACAAGAAGATTGCAGCCGACATGGCCCTGATTAGAGAAGACATTAAGGGCATAACAGTGAGGCTGGGAGCTGTAGAGGCCTCCTCTGCTGACCACACCACCCAGATCGCAGACCTCCAAGCAGCAGTCCGGGCCCTGCAGCAAAAATCCTGGCAGCACGAACAACAAATTTCTGCACAGGAAGACAAGAACCGCAGAAATAATCTAAAGCTCAGAGGAGTCGCCGACTCTGTACCAGAGGCAGATCTTCCACACTTTGTCAGGCGACTCCTCACCGAGCTACTGACCCCTAAGGCAGTGAAAGCAATCGCCCTGGAGGGCCTGTTCTGCATACCGAAGCCAGTGAAAGCCCTGCCTGCTGCCCAGGGGACTTAATAGTTCAGTTCCAATCTGCTAGAGACAAAAGAGCGATCCTAGAAGCCACAAGAGGACAGGAAACTTACGCCTTCGAGGGGATGACAATCTCTCCTTTTACACAGACCTTTCAGGTGGGACACTAGTGTGGAGAAGATCCATGAACGCATTCACAGCTTTGCTATGGCTCCACCAAATCAGATACCGCTGGGGACCTAGCCGCACCATCCACATTGACAAAGGGGACTCCAAACATGTTGTCCACGATATGCAGGAAGCCATTGGGACATTGGGTCTATTTAACCTACCCAAAGACTCTCAAACACTAACGCCGCACCCAGTGGACCGCACAAGCACACTCGGAGGAAACGCTGCGAATGTCCCAGAGTTTATTCCCCGGAGGCGGCCCTTGGACCCTTACGCGAAGGCCACCACTTGAAGCTGGACTCTAACCTGTGCGACCTCTGCTAACACCGCACCAGACCATACTGCAGCAACATGCACTGTTTGAATGTTACTTAAAATATAGCTACACAAATGCTTAACCATTTCAGCGAGTTATAACATTTAGCATGATATTATCACTTTAAGCATGTACTGTACTAGAGGGACACAGGCTTAATATTATTATCCTCTTATGATCACTAGAGCGTACAAGTATACAAATGTTTCAATGTTTTACTTAGCTCCAACGGCTAACACACCTAGGACACACTAGGCAAATTTCTAACAAACGTGGTGCCAACGGTCTTTTACAGTTTATATTATTACCAAGCGGTACTGTTTAGGCCATAGACCTGTCTAGTCATAACACACGCTACCACTTTCTACCGATACTAAAATAGTTTATCTATAACAGTTAAACATTAATTGTTCTCAATGGTTTTAAATACGTCTACTCTGGCAGTATAATCGGTTAATTAAGCTTGTTAATGTTCTTGAAATGAGCGAATACTTATGCTAATACATAACGTGTGAGAATCTTGTATTACGCTTAGCTTGTTCATAACTAAACTCTAAAAATTGTGCTGAAAATCTTATGCTATATATGTACCACTACTGTGTTTTTACCCTTTTAATATGCTGTTGTGGCTTGGACAAATGACTTGTTACTCCCGCACAAAGAAAAATAAAGAATTTGAAAAAAAATCTTAATATGCTCTGCAAATTCAGTGAGTTATGGATTTATTGTTTTGCATGGAAATTAATACTAACATTGTGACACTGGCAGGGTTATTCACTAAAGTGAGAATTTAAAGTGAATTCAAAGTAAATCTCAAATTCAAGGTCAAAATAGCTGAACCAGAGAACATTTCTAACTCAGCTTTGCTTTCAGTTCAGCTACTCTGGCCTTAAATTTGAAATGCATTTTCACTTCAGTAACTAAGCATGTACATATTATTTTACAGTAAATTCTAAAAGGTTTCAGACTTTTTAAAAACAGTGTTAATTTTTTTTATTTTGCACATGTATGTTTCCCATCAATCTACACTCAACACTGAATGATAACGCAAAAAATAAATGTTTGACACAATTGCAAATATATATATAAAGAAATCATACTGACATAAGTATACAGATACTGAAATCAATACTTGGTTGAAGCACCTTTGACAGAGATTACAGCCTCTAGTCTTCATGGGTATGATGCAACATGTACTTTCTGAGATTCACCTCTGCAGGTCCTCTCAAGCTCTGTCACGTTGAATGTTGGCTGTTGGTGGTCAACCATTTTTCTCTCTACAGATGTTTGATTGGGTTTAAGTCGCAAGGAACTTGCAGGGAGTTGAGCTTCGGTGCTGTGGGGTGGAGTTATGATGTTATGGGCAGGGGCAGAATTACAATGATTGACCGACCAATCACAGTTAGATGTGGAATCTAACCAAAAAGCAGCAATATAGGAACTAATTATGGGTCTAGGAGAGATTTGGAGAAGTGTTTTTGCAAAATGTTCAGTATGCTTGGTTTAGAAGTTTTCATACTATGTTTCAGAACTCAGGGCAAGCCTCTCTCATGTTCATTTATACTGTAGTTATGTCTCTGTCGAAAGCCAATAGTCACTGATATAATGCCTGTAAAGTTGCTTAAAATAGTACAGGAAGTTTCTATTGGTGATATCATTTGCACAGCCAGGCACTATGAGGGTGAATTGATTCTACAATTTCACTTTCAGTAATGGCATTACAGTGGATAATAAAGATTGCTGTAGCAGTTTTAAATATATATTTTTTGAAAAAAAATATGATTTACCTGTATTTACCTTTTGTGAGCAATCTGCTCAAATGCAAATGTTTTAAATACTGTTGCAAAATGTAGTAGGCTTTACTGCTAATAATGTCTTCAGAGTCCTTGTAAATACCAATAAGCAAGGTATTAAACCATTTTTATTTTGTCACACCTACTGTATGTGAGAAAAAAAAGATTAGTTGAACTGAAAGCATAGCTGACTTAGAATTTTTTCCAGTTTGTCAGTTTTGACCTCAAATTTTAAATTCACCTTCAATTCACTTTGAATTGCAGCACTCTGTAGTGGTTATAATGCAAGAAGTGACCTCCCTTTGTAAATAGTCAAACAGTTTGACTTTTTACTTTGGGTCTGCTTGTCACTGCCTCAACTAACTCGCTATAGGCTCTCTGTCTGAGCTAAGCTTTGTAGTACAAGAGCATAACTTGATTCCTTATAATGAGGGATTGGCCAGTTCTCTGGCTGAGGTAGTTTAAGATGTGAACCGCACATTGCAGAACCAGGTAATAAATAAAACTGTTCAAAAATGTTTTGACTCCTTACAATGGGGGGGAAGGGGGCTGCAAGGGCACTCCTGGCTCTATAACTAGTACGGCTACAACGTGCTGTAGTGTTTGTGGTGCTTGGAACATTGCTTTAATCTTCCTTTTTCTGTTGAGAAAGTAACAAAATTAGATTTTTTTTTAATATGCATTTTGTGATACAAATATGGTGTAATACTTTCTAATATTTGATTTCTTACCACAGATGGTATAATCATCTATAAACCCTCCTCATATTTCATCAATGTGGTGACACCATTTGGCCTGAGTGTCCAAGTTCAAATTAAGCCTGTGTTTCAACTATTCATCACAGTGAATTCAACATTTCAGGACCAAACCAATGGTAATTGTACTGTATCTGAAGATCGGCAAGTGATTACTGGTGTCAATATGCTAACTTACTACTGAGGTTAAAATACATTAGCAAAGAAGAGATCTTTTCTCCCGTTTTTCAAGAATTCATCAAGGGCTGCACGAATGGGCAAAATTGACTATAAAACTTTAATATTATAATTCATATAAATAAAAAGAAGCATAACAAGCAAAGTCATGCAAATATATAAAACAAGAATTTTGATGAATATTTAATTGAAAGTTGCATGTCAACTGATCATTACATAACAATTACAGCTATGTGTGTACAATATATTGGCTAATTTATAGATAGATTTTTCTTACTACAGTACATAAAAACAAGATAATGATCACCAACTTAAATCAACATTCTGAGCACCATAACCCCCAAAATGCACCTCCTCCCATTTTTGAATGGTTTGCTTTACATGGGTTGCATTGGCTCCCTGCCTCCCAGTCCAATGCAACAGAGCTGGGAGTTATTAAGCAGGCACATCTGAACTAGGCCCCTGAAAGGACTTAGCTCATTATGACTCCTGGTAATGGGGGAATGGCCAGAACATGGCACCATAACAACTACAGTGAGTTGTAGTGGTTATGGTATCTGAAACGTTCCTTTAAAATCAAAATGTGCATTCTGTTTCTATATGAATATGTATTTGGGAGGAAATAAGAATCTATTTGATTTTTCTCTATATGTATTTAATATAAAATTATATTTTTTCTGAGGACTTTGTGGAAATTTCAATGGGGTGGAGGCTGATGACTTGAAAACAATGAGTGGAGTGGTGGAGGAATCAGCCTCAGCTTTCAGTAACTCATGGAAAGTCCAAGCATCTTGCTCTGACCTGCCTGATCATTTTGAAAACCCATGTGCCAACAGTATAAGCAAAGGTAAACTATAGATTGCACTTCATTTATAAAGAATCAAGAGGGTTCTGAATCGTTAACTAAGAAAATATGCGTTATACCAATATATAGTATATACTTTATATACAGTGTCTATCTTTCTATTATTTTTTGTATTTCTCATTGTCATATCCAGAGACTTTCAGAGGCCTGGTAATCGGAGGGTTCTACTCAGGATCTTAGTTGTTCCTAGAACTGCACTCTTTTATACAGAGATATTTCAGATGTTCCACCTAGAATCCCCTGCAGCCATTCTCCCAAATAGGGGGTTACAGCCCTGAATGCTCTTTTCACATCCTTTCTAGCTGCTCTTTCAGTGCCTGCTCTCATACTTTCTTCTTTATGTTATGGTCACTGGGTATTGCCACCTCTACCACCACCATTGAAGTCTTCTATTCCTTGTCTATCACCACAATGTAGGGTTGCCTAGCCAGTACTTTCTTGTCAAGTGTCACAGGAAATCAGCCCTGCCATTCTCTACTACCCTTTGTGGTACCTCCCAACTGGAGACCCAGCCCATATCATGTGTGACAAGTGGAAAATTCTGGAACAAATCAATTCTGGACAAAAAAATATATATATCTGTCCATCTGCTTCTTCTTGATGTTATGATAACTGGATATTGTCAACACTAAATTTGGCCCTAAATTACAGAAGGGAGCCCGATTATTGATTGGTATGTAGGCCCCCTAATGTGAGCAGTGATTTAATCTTGCTCACATCAAACTGTTAGGATGCACCATGCTGTCCTAAAGGCATTAAAGCATAGTATTGGAACATCCTTATTTTGTTAAGAATTTTGTTAAAGAATACTCCAGACCACAACAATTTCATCTCAATGAAGTCCTTCTGGGGCCTGAAGTCTCTGGGCACCTCCTTACTCTGTAATGTTAAGGATAAAGTAAGGAGTTAAAGATGCTACCAGTTTTGTTACATTGCAACAAAAACAGAGAATATGTGAATGGACAAAGCTTATAGAAACAAAATAACTTGCCTTTCGGTAAATTCCCGTTCAGGTCTCAAAATAGTTTTTGCTCACTTGGGCCATTGCAGAGTTAACCTATACCGTCTGCATATCAGACTGATCCCACCCATAAGAACAGTGCAGAACCGGAATGCTGGCAAGTTCTCTCTGCATGAGTGGTACAACAACCCCAGATGATCATTTCAGCTTTCTATGGGCCTCATCAGCGAGGTGTAGCTGAAATCCCTCTAGGCACAGTGAACACAGGATCCACATCTGGATTACCCTTTTAACTAAATGAGAATCCAATTTAATGCATTGCAATAAAAACAGAGATTATGAGAATGAACAAAAGATTAGAAAAACTCAATAGCTTGCCCTTCTGCAAATCCCCCTCAGATCTCAAAGTTTTAGCTCACTAGTGC